CTGCGTCGTCGTGGGACTGCTTGTGCTGCACTGCGTCGTCGTGGGACTGCTTGTGTTGTGCTGTGTCGTCGTGGGTCTGCTTGTGCTGCGTTGTCGTGGGACTGCTTGTGCTGTGCTGCGTCGTAGTGGGACTGCTTGTGCTGTGCTGCGTCGTCGTGGGACTGCTTGTGCTGTGCACGCAACACATGCAATTACGTAAATATGTAATGTAATCCCACATATATGTAGACTGTGCACCTGGAGAATAGAAGACACCAGCCCAAAGAAGAACTGAAGTACAACAGAATCCAATTGTTGACACATGCGATCCAAATAATAACCATTGAATACGGTTATAAACCATTGTCAATATACGGATATGATTACCAAGAACTGAAGCATGCATCATCGATAGATCAGCGATGGCCTTGGCAATAAAACCAACAAGTATATGTATTACTTCCCATATATCGTGGGCCGCACCACCATCCTCATCCACTTGCAACGGCTGGGTGTCCGTCTGAATCCCTCCCGAACCGTCGGCAGCATCCATGATGAGTGGCTGTGCTGTGTCGTCGTGGGACTGCTTCTGCTGTGCTGCGTCGTCGCGGGTCTGCTTGTGCTGTGCTGAGTCGTCGTGGGACTGCTTGTGCTGCACTGCGTCGTCGTGGGACTGCTTGTTTTGTGCTGTGTCGTCGTGGGTCTGCTTGTGCTGTGCAGTGTCGTGCTGTGTCGTCGTGGGACTGCTTGTGCTGTGCTGTGTCGTCGTGGGACTGCTTGTGCTGTGCTGTGTTGTCGTGGGACTGCTTGTGCTGTGCTGCGTTGTCGTGGGACTGCTTGTGCTGTGCTGCGTTGTCGTGGGACTGCTTGTGCTGTGCTGCGTCGTAGTGGGACTGCTTGTGCTGTGCTGCGTCGTCGTGGGACTGCTTGTGCTGTGCTGTGTCGTCGTGGGACTGCTTGTGCTGTGCTGGGTCGCACTCCACAGCCGCAGGACTGCTCGTAGGATTGCTCGTGGGACTGCTCGTAGTCGTTGGATTGCTCGTCGGGCCGCTCGTGCATCGTCGTACGGCTGCCGCTTGCGAGCCCCCCTCTTCCGAGCCTTCCGAGTCTTCCTCGCCTCCCTCCGGAACCCCTTCGGGGTTCGGAGGGCCCGGGTTTGGAAGCTCGTGTCCCAAGGGCCGTGTGGCGCAGGTCGGGCCCTTCCACTCCCAAGGGCCACCCGCACACACACCACCAGAAGAATTGTAATCACCCAGAATCGGTAGTAGTGAAACCAAGGGCAAAGTATTGAAAGACCCTGCAAGTATTGAAGTGGCTCGCCCATCGAGCTACTTGTAGCCCCTACCCCAGGAACCAAGCATAAGACAATGCATATCCAGAGTACGGTTGGAAGCTGCATCCGGTCGTAAACCAATTGATGACACATGTGATCCAAATAATAACCATTGAGACCCTGCAAGTATTGAAGTGGCTCGCCCATCGAGCTACTTGTAGCCCCTACCCCAGGAACCAAGCATAAGACAATGCATATCCAGAGTAAGGTTGAAATCTGCACCCGGTCATGTCTATGTACCCGTGTGTGTAAAGGCAACATCACAAGCACAAACACAACCATGATTGAATTCTGCCCAAAATATCCCTCCCCTGCCTGTCTAGTAGATTTCCCACTGTCAGTCGTAGGGGTGTGGGTTGGGTGAAGGTTCTGGTGTTGCCCCCTCCCCTCCACCTTATCATGCATGTGCATCAATTGCAATGTTAAGAGAACATGACGCTTGCCCAACCGTAGTCGGGCGCCCGGGAGTCGGGAGTCGGGGTCGGACCCGACGTGGACCGTGTTCTCATTCTCCCTCTTGAACCCCAAAATGCAATGCGGGGAGATGCGCCAGATGCCCGACGCGACACGGGTCCGGGCCCCTTACGAACCCTTAGGATCGAAAAAACGGGGCAGACCGGGCGTCATGGCCCCCGCCTCCCCTCTACCATGTAACGCCCCCCCCCCAGTGCGCCCTGGGCACTGCCGCCGTGCGCATCGGGACCCGCTTAGGCACCCGCATAGGAATCCGCATAGGGGTCTGGTCTGCAGTCGTCGTCGTCGTCGTCGTCGTCGTCGTCGTCGTCGTTGTCGTTGTCGTTGTCGTCGTCGCTCGTCGCTCGTCGCTCGTCGCTCATCGTCGTCGTGCGCGCGGTCGCGGCTGAAACATGTTTTGTCATTCTGGGCCGATGACAGCCGTCATCTGGGGGGGTGCGATGACGTCACATTTCGCGTTGGCGGCGTCTGGGAATGCATAGGAATGAACGAGGCCAGGTAGCAGCAGCATGTAGGTGGCGATCTGCATCACAGCGCTTGTCTACACCACAGTGACTGCGTGCACCACAGTGCCTGTGTGCACCACGCCGCCAATGTATACCACAGCAACCGCGTGCAACACAGCTCCAGTGTGTGCCACATTGTTTGCGGGCACCACCGCGCTTGTGTACACCACAGCGCCTGCGTACACTGCACCAGCCGTGTGCCACACAGCACCAGTGTACACCACAATGCTTGCTTGCACTACAGCGCCTGTGTACACCACGGCGCTTGTGTGTACCACAGCAACCGTGTGCAACATAGCACCACGTGGCATATAGAAATTTAGAAGAAATCCTTGTTGCAAAATTGAGTGCCTGAGGATTCCACGGAAACCATTTTTTTCATTAATAGGAATTGGGAAGGAATCCGTATGGAAAAAGGAGCGCCGTTAGAATCTACGAATCCTCTCGAGTCCTCCCGCATCATCCTATCTCCTCCCATCTGCGTCCAGGAGGCTCCAGCTGAATTCGCCTTCCGAAAACCAAATGGACTGATTCAATCGACCATTCTGCTGTGCACTGTGAGATGCGCACGTACGCTGTAGCGCCGACCCACACGACAGGGGGGAATGCTGAGGGAGGAGGAGGAGGAGGTGGATGGAGGTGGAGGGACCACGAGGCGCACTCGAGCGGGCACGGGCGCTAATGTGAAGAGCCTTCGGGATCCCCACCCAGCGCACGGGGCGCCCACGAGCGGGCAAGGGCGCCAACGTGGCGAAACCCCGGCGAACACGTCAAACCTCACGTGTAAGCACCGTTTAGGAGACGTCCCAGTTTGAGCTAAGCTGTTGTTCCCCACGTGATCACGATGGGCGCGTGAACTACCAAGTTGTGTCATGATGCACGGACATGGTATCATGGTAGTGGTGCGGTGCTGTTATGTTTGTTGTTTCCCTGATTCATATTCTGAGCATTACACTGACAGAGTGGAAGCCTGTTAGGCTTGATTCTGCTATGCCGAGATGCTTGCGCAACTGATGTGTGTGTGTGTGTGTTGTGTGTTGGTATGAATTCGCGCGTTTGTGGGCTTCGGGCAGTTGTTTTTGCAACGGGCGAGTGAAACACATTGAGATACACGACTGCGCGCGCAGGGATCGGGGGTCGATACAGGTTTGACTGGGATGGTGTGCGTTTTGGAAGAAGACGAAGAAGCAACACCGTATACGATCTGCAGTGTCCTAGGGCGGTCGGGCAGGTCCAGGGGGGAGGGGTGATAGAGTTTACTGTTCTTTAGCAACAAACATACGTATGCGGTGCAAGCTATGTGGAGCAGGCTATGTGGCGCAAGCTACGTGGTGCAACGTGGTTCAGGCTGTGTGATGTGCAATGTGGCGTAGTGCAAACTGCCGGGGCTCCCACGAACGCGCCCACGGGCGGGCGGGCACCAGGCAAACTTCGTCATTTCCCTCCAGCGCGGGGCGCGCCCACGGGCGGGCACCAGGCGAAGTTCCGGTGTACCTTCCAGCGTGAGGCGCCCGCAGGTGGGCACCGTGCGAAGGCTCGGCCCGCGCAGCCCCACCGGCCCAGGGCGCCCGCGAAACGCCCACGGGTGGACACCCGGGCGAAGCCTCGGCACGCCCCGCCAGGGCGGTGCGCCCACGAGGGGCCCACGGGTGGGCACCATGCGAAGCCGTGGCCTGTCCCCCCAGCGCGGGGCGCGCCCACGGGCGTGCACCGGGCGAAGCCTCGGCGTAGCCTCGGCATGCCTCCCCAGCGAACGGCACCCACGAGGCGTCTACGGGCGGGCACCAGGCGAGACCTCGGCAGAGCCCCCCCAAACGGAGGGCGCCCACGAGGCACCCATGGGCAGGCACCAGGCGAAAACCTGAAGTCGACAGCCAACGAATCAAGAACAGAAAGTGAGAACTCCCAAGTGCAAGCACTGTTCGGGGAACAACTCGTCAAACTTTGAAATACGGTGTGAGAAAGAAAAAACAACGTGAACAGACAGCGCGGGACATTTCCAGGACGTAGTCGGGGCAGCGGGGACAGTAGTATTCATAATGGGCAAGTATGGAGGGAGGAAGGGGAGGTAAGGGATGGCGATGATCATGAGGAGGAGGAGGAGGAGGAGGAGGAGGAGGAGGAGGAGGAGGAGGAGGAGGGATCGAGGCTCGAGGTTGCTGGACATTTGTTGGGCTGGATCTGCGCGTCGAACTTCTAGCCAGAGCGCACCCACGACATGTCCGGGGCCCGACTTGAGAGGGTGATCGGGAATTGCTAGAAGTGTTCCTTGCCCAATGGTCTGAGACCCTCTGGACATCAGGTGGAAGATTGGATAGGCAAGGGTGGCGCGAGAGGGGGAGCTTGAGATGCTCGGGCGCATGGCGCACGCAGCTTGCAGGGATAGGGTATGGTACCCTTCCGATCCTTCAGCGCTTCTGTTCTGGCACGTCAGCCGTTTCATTCTCCGTTCCTCTCGCCTTCCTCATCTGATGGTATATCCGACTGAATCTGCCGTCACGCCGGCAGGCCCTTGCTCCCTGCGTGCATAGCTTTCACGGCGAGTGGTACGGCGGAGCTTGCCAGTGACAGTGTCCACGCGCGCAATGTGTATTCCGTGTTTGTGTTTAGGAGTGGTGGACATCGAGGCTGCTGTGCCTGGCTGCCTGTCGGTCTATCTGATTGTCACGTCTCGTCTTCCTCTTGTGTGTTCTGATGCCATATGCGAGGACGCCATGACAAACGGCACCTACGTTTGGATTGGCGTCAGCAATTTGAGGCGCCTTGCATCTCTCTCTCGCGCCTCGACGCTGCCGCACGCGGCGCGGCTCCGATGCCCTTGGCTTGACGCATTACCGCGCCCACTCCTGGGCGTGTACATGTTCGGGGTGGATTTGATTGTGCAGGTCGTATTTCGGTTCCCTGTGCCTTTGCAGAGCGACGTGCACTTATGTTCCCCCGCGCGTCTCGTGACAAAGTGCATCGCGCAAAACGAACGAGGACCACTTGTGTGTTCTCCCCAGCCTGTCCTGAAACATTTGGAGTTCCTGGGCGCCCCAGGCGGAGCAGTGCATGTCGGACCTCCAGCGCCTGCGCTGCCTTCGCAATCATCCTTCCGCGGGTTGGGCATACTCGTAGGTGGGGTATAGAGTCACGTTTTTGTTGGTGGCCTAGTTCTACCCCACCCCCGCGGCGCCAAAACAACTACGTCACGTTGGCGAGCCTTCGCGGGGCCCCATGTCAGGCGGGCTCGCAGACGCCCCAGCAAGTTGCAGGGGGGGGGGGGGGCAGGCGAGGGAAGGCGGGGAGGGCAGTCGAGGATTGGAGGAGGGCCAGGGTGCCGTCGGGCTTTTCTCGGGGCTCATTCAAGGAGCCCCTTGGGCGCTTAGAGCTGATGTCAACCTCGGTCTTCGAACCAAGGACCCGTTCTTTTTCAGTTTCTGTGGCCCCAGTGGGTCCAGTAGCCGGCCTTTCCTTTCGCCCGAGGCGCACTAGCCGCATGAATTGAACGATCTCCGCACCAATCGAAAAAGTACAGCAGTATTCTTCTGGATTGGATGTAGTGGTGAGGACGAGAGCGACGACACAGAAGAGGATCACTAATATGGGGGACAATGGTGATGCTGATGATTCACTAATATGGGGGACAATGGTGATGCTGATGATGATTATGATGATTATGATGGTTATGATGCTGATGATGATGCTGATGATGATGCTGATGATGATGATGATGATGATGATGATGGTGATGGTGATGGTGATGGTGATGATGATGATGGTGATGATGATGATGATGATGATGATGATGATGATGATGATGATGATGCTGATGATGATGATGATGATGATGATGATGATGATGATGATGATAATGATGATGATGAATGGGAGGAGGATGAGGATCAATGCAATCTCAAGAAGCACCAACAATGTTGCCATCGACCCTCCCTCCACGTTCCCTCTCCACAAGTTCTTACAACAAGTTGTTTTCACTTTTTTATCCGTAGCCATTTTGGCTCAAGGGCTGTGCAGCGCCCGGAGCACCTGCGCCCTCGGGGCCCTCGTGAACAAGCTTGTGCCACGACGTCGGGATCCTGGGCAAGTCCCCAGCCTTTTTCCCTTCATGGAGGGCATGGTGATGGCTGGCGGCGTGCAGAAGTTCAAGTGGAGCGACACGCCATCCGACTCTGGCTCTGAGCACCCACTGTCTGCTGGCCTGACCGCCGCCGACGTACACCACAGCGCGTTGACTACCCTGGGCCAGGCCGCCGCAGCTTCCGCCGCGGCCGAGAAGGGGCCCTTGGGGCGGACTGCTGGCAAGCGCGGCGCCGTCGTGGGCCGCATCGGCAGCTTGTTGCTCTTCGTCGAGGCAGAAGCCAAGAGCGTCTACGAGCCCGTCAGGGTGTGGGTCGTCGAGGCTTCTGCGAAGGTTCGCGACGCCATCGAAGCGCGTGCCGGGCCCGTGGTGCACAAGCTGCAGGCAGCGGGCCAGCCCGTGGTGGTGTACATGACGCCCGTCTGCGCGAGCGTCTCCGAAGGCGTCCTCAGCGTCCGCACCGCGGTGGGGACGAGGGCGGTTGCCGTGAAGTCCCGGGCCCTGCAGCTGAAGGGCGACTGCGCCGCACGGGCCCTCGCCGTCTACGGTGCGGCCTGCGAGTTCGCCAGCGTCAGGCACAGAGCGGCGTGTGGGCTCGTGGAGGCCGTGGTGGCGCCCGTGAGGTCCAGGGGCCTGGAGCTCTACAAGGCGGGCGCGGCGAGGGAAACGCCTTACTGCATCAAAGCGAGGGACGCTACGCTCTTGCTTGCCCAGAAGACCAGGGACGGGGCCCACTACGCGGAGACCAGGGTCGGCGATATCGTCCTCAGGATAAGGGTGGGCGCAGGGGACACGGCCGCGCTGGGGAAGAGGGTGGTGCTGACCAGGTGCGCGGCTGTCTCGGACTTGGTCCGCGGTTACTCTGGGCCTTTGGCAGCCAGGCTGTCGACTATGCACGAGGCTGTCATGACCCACGTCTCCAGCCACCTGTCGCCAATCGTCGCCAAGGCCCTGGAGCAAAAAACCCTCCTCTACACCAAGGCTTGCGACATCGCCGTGGTGGTGAAGGTAAAATCGTTCGCCGTCAAGGACATCGCCATGCAGTGCAAGGATAAAGCCATGCAGCGTCCGCGCGCTATCCTCGTGCAGATCAAGGGAGGTTATGTCTACATGAAGACCGTATTTGACGGGAGGGTCCTCGTCATCAAAGCGAAGCTCTGTGACGTCCTGACGAGCTTGAGCTCGACCGTCCTCCAGGTCAAGGAGCATGCCAAGCTCAAGGCGGCAGACGCGTTCGGCACAGCCCACGTGAAGTACCTCGCGCTGCGGGCGGGGACCAAGCGCGTCGCCGTCGACCCCAGCACGCGGGTCACTGCCGTGTCCGCCGTGGGTGGCGCCACGGTCATGGGCGCAGGCGGTGGTGCCGCCGGGCTGGTTGCTGGAGGCACGCTCGGTGCCGCCTGCGGCGTGCCGTTCTCGTTGTTCACGTTCGGCCTCAGCATCCCAGTGGGCGCTGCTTTCGGCAGCGCTGCGGGCCTGTGTGCTGGCGCCATTACTGGGGGCACGGCAGGTCTGGTCGGAGGAGGGGCGGCCGGGTACAAGATTCACCAGAAGAAGGACAGCATCGCCGAGGGCTTCAGCGCTGCGGCGGGCACGATCAGCGACGTCAGGGGCATGGCGGCGGACAAGGCGAGCGTGTACAAGATGAAGGTGGTTGATTCCACTGCGGCGTCTGCGTCTCTCGTCCGGAGCGCGTTCGTTGGCGGCACTGTTGGCGCCGACGAGGGCAAGTGATGCGTGACCTACGCCTACCTGCGAAGACCACGTTCACACTGTCCTGCGAAGGCCAGGAGCTGTTTCCTACCTGATGTGGTCGTGGCGTCGCGGCGTGGACAGACTCTTCGGCTTTCCTGAGAAGGCACCACCAGTTTTTTGCCTGATTAAATCGGGCTGTACTTTGTCGAAGTAGTAGTAGTAGTAGTAGTAGTAGTAGTAGTAGTGGTCGTCGTCGTCGTCGCCGTAGTAGTGGTAGTAGTAGTAGTAGTAGTAGTAGTAGTAGTAGTAGTAGTAGTAGTAGTAGTAGTAGTAGTAGTAGTAGTGGTAGTAGTAGTTGTAGTTGTAGTGGTAGTACGAATGAAGTCGTGATTTCGGTAATCCAAGCAGACAACTTTTTGATTGCATCGTTTTGATTCCGAATCCTGACGCTGTCGCCTGCATACGGCTACTGGTGCAGAAGACACTGTGCAATGTGGCGCTGCCGCGTGCCGTGCATCTCCCACAGCGAAGATACCACCTGCTGTTGTCACGAAGTGGGCTGCGTCGAGGCGAGGACCTCTGCTGCTTTTACAGGCTGCATGGGTATTCACCAGAGCTTCCGCTGGTCGCGCTGTGCTTTTCGAGCGGAGGCGCTGGCAGGCAGCCCTCTGGCGCTTCCGGCCCTCTTCCCGGTGTGGGCCGGCGAGGGCTCGGGAACCGCCCGGGGGGCCTCTCTCTGCTAGCTTGTCAGTCAAGTTGGCGGTTAGGGATCAGCTCGAGGCTGGTTGCACCCCCCCCATCCGCCGCAAGTTCCTGTGCGCGTCTTGGGACGCCTGCGCGATGCGGCTGCTCGGCTGCGGGTCCGTCGCTTGTCCACTCCGATCTTCCTCTGCGTCCCCTCTCTCTGCCTCTCTGCTAGAATGCTCACCCTCCTTCCTCTGAGGCCGCAGTGTTGTGCATCTGATCTCGGACGCTGGACACTCGCCCTTTTCTTCGGGTCCGCAAAAAAAAAACAGTTGTTTTCACTTTTAGACGTGTTACGTTGAAAGAGAACCATCTGAGGATCCCCAATCGTGCCAACCCACAGGTTCTTGAACTTCAACGTCGCGGATGAAATTGATTGCTTTGCACTGACTATCCTGAACCGTGCCAGAACAGTGGTCCTGGGACTCCAGCACGGCCAATCAACGTGACTGTTGTGCCCCAACAAACCTGAACCGTGTCGGAACACCATTCTTGGGACGGCCAAACACAATCACCCGTCTGAGTTATGTGAATTCTTACATTGGGTGCGCGCGGCGCTCAAGCGAAGGCCACATTTCTGCAAGCGACCCGCCCTCCATTCGTGAAGTTGCTGGAATTTTTTAGACGAATGTGCGCGGCGCCGCGGCACGAACCAGATGTTGAAAACGACCCGCCCTCCATCTGCGGAGTTCTACAGCAAACTCTTACGACGAATATGCGCGGCGCTGAGGCGAGAGCCACAGTTTGAAAACCACCCGCGCTCCACCCGTGAAAGCCCGCAAACTTAAGACAACAGTTCGTGTCGTTTCGGCTAGAGCCACATTTTGAAAACTACCCGCCCTCCATCTGTGGAGCTTTGAAGCAAACTCTTAAGACATATGTGCGCGACGCTAAGGCGAGAGCCACATTAAAAAAACACCCGCCTTTCACCCGTGACACGCCTGCAAACTTTTAAGACGAATGTGCGCGGCGCTAATGTGAGAGCTACATTCAGACAACGATTCCGTCGTTCGTCCGCGGGCCTCTTGCAACATTTTTAAACGAATGTGCGCGGTGCCCAGGCGAGAGACACAGTTTGAGGACGTACCGCCCTCCACCCCGTGCATCCCCTGGAGCTTGTCAGGACGCATGCGCGCGGCGCTCAGGCGAGAGCTACAGTTTGAAAACGTACCGCCTTCATCCGCGGAACCATTGTACATGTGTTGGGCGAATGTGCGCAGCGCTACGACGAGAGCCACCTCTTGAACACGTACCGCCCTCCTTCCGCGAATTTCAGTGCAATTTCACATCGTAGTAAGTGTATTGCCTGTGGTGCTTGGACACCCCTCGCAATGTTCCCGCTCAGCCGTTGCCCTCTTCCTCACACACACAGCATCATCAGCAGCATCGTCATCAACATAAACCATCATCATCATCATCGTCATCATCACCTGCCATCCCGCTACATCCTTACCCATCACCTCCCATTCTTTCACTCCATCACTTCTTTATGCTCTCCAATCAGTCACCCATTCCCATGTCATGATCCCGCCATGGTTATCGGGCATCAGCACCATCGTCGTCAGCATCGCCCGCGCACACCACCATCGTCACCACAGTCACTACCCAATCATGGCAATCGGCCAAGAGGGGCCTCGTATGTGATTGAATTACGAGGCGGTCTCGAGCGGGAGCCCCCCCACCTATAGGACTTGCATTCCATGGTGGCAACCCGAGCGGATTATCGGAACCGTCAAGTGTTCGCCACTCTTTTGGGTGTGGAAAGCGTCTCTCGTCATTCTCTGAATCTTTGTTTCTGGCCTGGGTATGGAGAGCGTCTCGAGCGGAAGCTTCGTTTGTGAGTGACTTGCGGGGAATGTTCGGGCGGGGGGCTCCTGCATATGGGGTCCACATTTCTGGTTGGTGACTTGAGCGGGTCATCGGAACCTTGCAAGTGGCGTCATTTCTATGTGTTTTGGTCTGATTGCGGGGGGAGTCTCGAGTGGGAGTTTCGTCTGTGATTGAATTGCGAGGAAGTCTCGAATGGGAGTCCCCTCCCTATGGGGCCCGTAGTTCACGTTGGTAACCCGAGCGGGCCATCGGAGTCTTGTAATTGTAGTCCTCGTTGACTTCTGCTGGCCTGGGTATGGAGAGCGTCTCGAGCGGAAACTTCGTTTGTGAGTGAACCGCGAGACAGTCTCAGGCGGGAACAGCCTCCATATGGTGTCCGCATTTCATGTTGGTAATCCGAGCGGGCCATCCGAATCGTGTACTTGTCGTCACTCTGTGTTTCTTCTAGCATGAATGCTGAAAGGGTCTCGAGCGGGTGTTTCGTCTGTAAGTGGGTCGCGAGGAAGCCTCAGGCGGGAATTCCCTCCCCATGGGTTCCGCAGTTCTATTTGGCAATCCGAGCGGGTCATCGGAGCTTTGTTCCTGTAGTCACGTTTGGGTTCTGTTGGCCTGGGTATGGTCAGCGTATCGAGCGTAAGTTTCGTTTGTTGGTAAGTCGCGAGGAAGTCTCAGGCGGGAGCCCCTTGCATATGGCGTCTGCATTTAATGTTGGTATTCCGAGCAGGTCATCGGAACCTTGTAAGCGTCGTCGTTGTGGGGCTTCTTTGGTTTGAGTATGGAGTAAGTCTCGAGCTGGAGCTTCGGTTATGAGTGAATTGAAAGGAAGTCTCAGGCGGGAGCCCCTTCCCTACGGGGTCGGCATTCCATGTTGGTAATCCAAGCGGGTCATCCGAACCTTGTAACCGTCGTCACTTTTGGGTTTTCTGGATTGATTATGGACGTCAGGGTTGAGGCGGAACAGCTCGCGGCAGAGCTGAAGTTCGTGTTGCCTCCCGCCTGGGCGCCCTCGTAAAGCCCACTTGGGCATCTCCTGCGTTGTCTTGACGGCCCCTTGGCCATCTTGGGATCTTCTTTGCCCGTCTTGAAGCCTTCTTCGGGGCTTCATGAGTTGTCATGGGACGATCTTGCGGACCCCGTGGGCCGTCTTGGATGCCGTGACGACGAAGAAGGCGAGCATATTATCATATGGCACGATGTTTGCCTGTTTTTTTGGGGGCTCTTTCGGCGGTCCTCTGGGAGCCCTCTTGGCCCGTCTTGGGGGCTTCTTGGGCAGTCTCGGAACCATCTTGGACCGTCGTGGCGCTGTTTTGGGCAGTGTCGACGTTTTTGAAATCTCGGCGCTATGTTTGGCGGCCCCTCTGGGGCCGTTTGGGGACTGTATGGCGGTTCCGAAGGCTCCAGAGGAAGGGTTGACGAGCGCATGGGCCCCAGAGGTGGGCTCAAGAGGGAATTCGGGCCCCCAGGGAACGGGAAAACGAGAGGGGGGCAGCCAATAATCCCAGATGATTTTATGTTTCGGCCACAATGGCCTGCATACTTTTGTGTATAGATCTGCGGCTCACACTACACTGGGCGACGCCCCACTTGTGACACGGGAAGCCGCCTAATCTGTCCAATCCAGTCACGGGGTCTTTGGTAGATAGATCTTTGGCAATGTGATCCCGTATGTTCTTGCCGCGCACAAGGTAGTTGGCCACGCGCAAACAGTTGGATAGAAGGGACCGCGGCCTTCAGCACATTTGGAAAACTTCAGCACTGCAGGGCTCCCTCCTTCATTCTAGACGCTTCGCGTAACCCCACCAGCCCATTTAGAAACGATGCCCAAGCAAGTTGCCCAGCGCGAGTCTGTAGCAATTCGTAAGCGATAGAAGTGCCGTCCTCGGGAAAACGTACCGACCTCCATCAGTGAAATTCCGTACAACTGTTTGACGAATGTGCGCGGCGTTAAGAGTAGAGCCACAGTTTGAAAATGACCCGCCTTCCATCCGTGAAGCTGTTGCAAACTTTTACTCTCAGGCACTTACATCGTGCCAAAATCTAAGGCGAAACGCCTGGCCCGCCCTACCCACACGCCTCGGGGTGCGACAGAGAGGAGTTATGCCCCACATGTTTCGTGTGGTTCTTGTTTTCTGCCTTGCCGCGCCGCACCCGCGTCTCCTCACACCTCCCCTCCTGTCTGTTTCTTCCTCCCCTCACTCACACACACACACACACACTTCACTCTTCCCCCCTCGTCACACCACTGCTCAGCTCAACTCACCTCAGCACAGCTCAGCTCAGCACAGCTCGGCTCAGCTCAGCACAGCCCAGCACGGCCCAACTCAGCACAGCACAGCACAGCTCGTGGCACTTTCTCGACACCACAGGGGGTGCGCAGGGGCTGGTCTCTCAGCTCGGCCGCTATCCACGGCACTGGCGCAAAGCCGAGCAGGCGTGGCACTCTCTCGACACCAAATGGGGTGGGCAGGGGGTGGTCTCTCAGCTCGGCCGCTATCCACGACATTGGCGCAAAGCTTAGCAGGCGTGGCACTTTCTCGACACCACAGGGGGTGCGCAGGGGGTGGTCTCTCAGCTCGGCCGCTATCCACGACACTGGCGCAAAGGCTAGCAGGCGTGGTCTCGACACCACAGGGGGTGCGCAGGGGGTGGTCTCTCAGCTCGGCCGCTATCCACGACACTGACGCAAAGCCCAGCAGGCGTGGCACTTTCTCGACACCACAGGGGGTGCGCAGGGGGTGGTCTCTCACCGCGGCCCCTATCCACGACACTGGCGCAAAGGCTAGCAGGCGTGGCACTTTCTCGACACCACAGGTGGTGCGTAGGGGGTGGTCTCTCATCTCGGCCGCTATCCACGATACTGGCGCAAAGCCTAGCAGGCGTGGCCCTTTCTCGACACCACAGGGGGTGCGCAGGGGGTGGTCTCTCAGCTCGGCGGCTATCCACGACACTGGCGCAAAGCCTAGCAAGCGTGGCACTTTCTCGACACCACAGGGGGTGCGCAGGGGGTGGTCTCTCAGCTCGGTCGCTATCCACGACACTGTCGCAAAGCCTAGTAGGCGTGGCACTTTCTCGACACCACAGGGGGTGCGCAGGGGGTGGTCTCTCAGCTCGGCCGCTATCCACGACACTGGCGCAAAGCCTAGCAGGCGTGGCACTTTCTCGACACCACAGGGGGTGCGCAGGGGGTGGTCTCTCAGCTCGGCCGCTATCCACGACACTGGCGCAAAGCCTAGCAGGCGTGGCACTTTCTCGACACCACAGGGGGTGCGCAGGGGGTGGTCTCTCAGCTCGGCCGCTATCCACGGCGCAAACTAGCAGGCGTGGCACTTTCTCGACACCACAGGGGGTGCGCAGGGGGTGGTCTCTCAGCTCGGCCGCTATCCACGACACTGGCGCAAAGCCTAGCAGGCGTGGCACTTTCTCGACACCACAGGGGGTGCGCAGGGGGTGGTCTCTCAGCTCGGCCGCTATCCACGACACTGGCGCAAAGCCTAGCAGGCGTGGCACTTTCTCGACACCACAGGGGGTGCGCAGGGGGTGGTCTCTCAGCTCGGCCGCTATCCACGACACTGGCGCAAAGCCTAGCAGGCGTGGCACTTTCTCGACACCACAGGGGGTGCGCAGGGGGTGGTCTCTCAGCTCGGCCGCTATCCACGACACTGGCGCAAAACCTAGCAGGCGTGGCACTTTCTCGACACCACAGGGGGTGCGCAGGGGGTGGTCTCTCAGCTCGGCCGCCATCCACGACACTGGCGCAAAGCCTAGCAGGCGTGGCACTTTCTCGACACCAAAGGGGGTGGGCAGGGGGTGGTCTCTCAGCTCGGCCGCTATCCACGACACTGGCGCAAAGCCTTGCAGCCGTGGCACTTTCTCGACACCACAGGGGGTCTCTGAGCGCGGCCGCCACCCACGACACTGTCGCAAAGCTTAGCAGGCGTGGCACTCTCCCGGGACTATAGGGCCAGCGCAGGGGGTGATCTCTTGGTGCAGTGATTATCCACCGCATTGCGCGTGAGAGCTTGCGTCTTACCCTGATCCGTAAACATCGCGGCTCAAGCCGGCGCGGCACGACTGCGCATTTACGCAAGTTGGTCTGTGCTCCAACTTGCGGGCAACAACCGCCCGGCCTACGCGCGGCAGCAATGCCGCCCAAAATTTGGCGTTGGATGACCCATAGGGAACATTCGCGACGAGGGCTCAGAACGCAGGATTGTGCATATATATATATACACATAAGCAAACACATAAGATTTGAATTAAGTATGTGGGGTTCCTCGGTAGCGTAGTTCATAAGGGAAAGGGATGGGGGAGGTCATCCTAAGGGCTGAAGGCGGAGTGAGAAGGGGCGGCGATGACGACCATGTTGACGCTCTCATTGGGGGGAACCCGCCACCTAGGACTTCTAGCCGCGACATGGTTGGAAGCAGAGGAGGAGGAGGAGGAGGAGGAGGAGGAGGAGGAGGAGGAAAAGGATGGCGGTAATGAGGAGGGATGAGGAGTGTGAGCGGGAGAGGAGGGGTTGGAACGTGAAGACGGAGGAACCGTTGGGCTCCGCTTAGCCAGCCAGCAGTGTCACGGGGCGTGGGCTAATGATGTCGTGCGACTTGCGCTGAGCCAGCTTGCCGGTCAGTGCCCATAGAGACCCGCCCGTGGCCGCGAAGAGGGGTAGATTCGGGAGGGGCCAGGACGAGGATGAATCCGTTCCAGAGCGTTCCGGAACGCTCTGAGGAGGCCGCGGCGCCCGAGATTTCCTCCAGAGCCGCGGGATCTCAGAGATCCCGATTTATCCTCACCCGATTTTATCCTCGTCCTGGCTACGTCCTAAGACGGCGGCGGGTCCGCTGGCGGAAGCCAAATTGAGGCGTCACATTTGCTGTTGGTTCAGGGGGTCAGCACTGGCCGCGTGGACATGTTTGGGCCCTTTTGGTCGACTGCACGTGAGATTGACCCTTTGCCGGAGTGGCCTTGGGTGCGGGCCCATTGGGGCCCCCGATCACCGAGTACGATGCGGCAGCAGCGGCCTGCGCGCTTGAGCCCCCTCGCGCTCCCCAGGAGCCACGCACCAGGGCTCGCTCCTGCCTGTGGCCGCTCGTGCGTGCAGCCGGCTTGGCCACGCCCGACCCTGCGCCAGCACTCGACGCCCCCCCTGAGCCTTCGCCTCCGCTGCTCCGCACGGCCGCCGGGGGCCGCCTCCGACCCTGCCGGGCCGGGTCCGCTCGGCCGCCCCAGGCCCGTCTACAGACTGCTGGGCCCGGAGCCTCGCTATCTCCACTACACCGAGGCGCCGCCGGGCACGCGAGCGAAGCATTGGGTCGGTTGCGCGGGTCGGACGGGGCCAGGACGAGGATCGATCCGTTCCGGGGCGTTCCAGAACGCGCTGCAGAGCGTTCCGGGAGGCTTTGAGGAGGCCGCGGCGCCCGAGGCATCCTCCTGAGCCGCCGGATCTTGGAGATCCTCGACTTATCCTCACCCGGATCCATCCTCGTCCTGGCTTCGTCCTAGCAGGTATTTGCACAAGGGTTCAGCGCTATCGGGGGTCAGCCGATGAAGTTCTCAGCCGTTGTAGCGCACGGCGGGACGCCAAGCATCAAAACGAAAGGTTGAAGCTTGAGCTTCAGCTTCAACTTTGGATTCCGCGTGCGAGGCGAGGCGATAGCCACCTTTTTGAAAACAACCTGCCCTCTATACGTGAAACTCTTACAGAGTTTTACAGACGACTGCGCGCGGCGCTAAGGCGAGAGTTGAAAACGACCGGGCCTCCGTCCATAAGATTGTTGCAAGTTTTAAGTTTGAGCATCATAACCGGTGATGAAGTCTCAGGCGAAACACCTGGCCCGCCCTTTTCGACCGGTTTCGGGATTCGACAGGGAGGAGTTTTATCTGAGGAAAAGGAGGGGGAGGAGGAGGAAGAGGAGGAGGAGGAGGAGGAGGAGGAGGAGGAGGAGGCAAATCGCCTCGTGGGGCCCTTGTGGGACGCTCTTGTGCTTTTGGCCGTCTTTGGGCCCTCTTTGGGCTCTCTTTGGGCCTTGAGCGCCCTGGAAGGCCTCTTGGGGCAATCTTGGAGGCCATCGATCAACGGAGGGGGAGTCCTTAGTTGCCCACCCCCCATCTGAGGCCTTCACGCGATCGCCTCTTGGGGTCCTCTTGGAGCGCTCTTGGCCGCTCTTGGGGGTCGTCTGGGGGCCTCTTGGGACCCTGGGCCTCTCTTAGGCAATCTTGTGGGGCCATCTTGAGGCCTCACAAGCGCATCGGAAGCGAAAAGGCGAGAAGGCAACAGTCATTAATGTACCGCGTTTTAAAGGAGTCTGGCCTTTTGGAAGGCGTCTTCAGAAGGCTTCGAGAGCACTTGGAGCCGTCTTGTGGCCCGTGTTGGGCCTTTTAGAGGCATGTCGGCTGCTATATGTTACCATCTTCGGCTATCTTCAGCCGCATTGGAGGCCATCATGAAGCATCGGCAACGGAGGGGGGGTCCTTAGTTGCCCACCCCCCCACCTGAGGCCTTCACAAGATCGCCTCTTGGGGTCCTCTTGAAGCGCTCTTGGACCGCTCTTGGGCGCTCTTGGGGGTCGTCTGGGTGCCCCTTGGGACCCTGGGCCTCTCTTAGGCAATCTTGGGGCCATCTTGAGGCCTCACAAGCGCATCGGAAGCGAAAAGGCGAGAAGGCAACAGTCATTAATGTACCGTTGTTGAAGGAGTTTGGCCTTTTGGAAGGCGTCTTCAGAGGGTCTCGAGAGCAGGTGGAGCCGTCTTGTGGCTCTTGTTGGGCCTTTGCATGTCGGATGCTATATGTTACCATCTTCGCTATCTTGAGCCGCTTTGGAGGCCATCATGAAGCATCGGACGACCTCTTGGAGCCATCGTGGAACTCACGAAGAGATTCTGGCAGGGGAGGGGGAGGGTACCCCTCCCCGAACGATGTTGTTCTGAAGAGGAAAGAAAGATATCGCTCGACTACGTTCGCCCAAAGGGCTGGTGGGATTTGGGGGCGAACGTCGCGTGACCAACATCGGACATCGCTGCGAACGAGCGAACGCCAGTCGTCGTCGTCGTCGTCGTCGTCGTCGTCGTCGTCGTCGTCGTCGTCGTCGTCGTCGTCGTCGTCCCGCCTCCGCCGCCGGTCGTCGTTGTCCTCGTCGTCGTCGTGGCCGCTGCCGGTGCTGCTGTTTTTGTGAGCTGTGCTGCTGCCGTCGGTATTGCTAAGACTATGCCCCCGCCCGCAACGTTACCGTTACCCCTCCACGTGGGCCCGACCTTCCCCTCCCGTTGCCCCGCCACGGGGCCCCCCTCACCCCCGCAACGGACGTTGCGGGGGCAGGGTGCAGCCAAGACGCCGGAATAGGGACCGATTGGGGCTCGGTGTGGGCTCGGGTTTTCGGGCCGTTCTTTACACTTCTGTCGTGAAGCCTGTCTATGGCCTTGGCCCACCGCGGCCAGAAACGCTCCTTCGTTCCTTGGTTTACGCGTTCCTTCTGGTAGCGAGGCGACTGCTTTCACACAAACATATCTTAGCTTCTGGGCATCGTTCCTGATCTTCCCGTCCCCATTTCGAGCGTGACAGAGGAGAGGCGTGCGCGCCCGCGCGCCCGTTAGGCAGAGGTCCGCGACTTTCGGCGGCTGCCGCGCGCTCGGCACACGCTCGAGTGCAGTCTGTGCACGCCCCAGACGTCACCAGCCTCAAGCACATCCCCATCCCTATGATTGGCATCACCTTCTGCAGGTGCCGATCGTAAGGGTTCCCGTCAGCTTCTGAGGGCGCATCGCTGAGAGATTGTCATCGCCTTTGGGCTTGTCAATCTTCGGTATAGGAATGAGCTCGCGGCTGGTTAAGATGCAATGCGCGGGCTGTTGTTGCAACGTCCCGGCGGGGGAAAAATGCTTGTTGCCTCCGCCTCGTACGGGCGGTATGTTTCGCTTCGGCGCACACGTGCCTTTGTTGGCAGGCGCACTCCACGTGGTCCGATTTTTCGCCCGATGCCAAGCCGCTCGCCCGTGCGATTTGCTGACGGAGGTATGTATGCGTGTGGGTTTGTGTGTGTGGTGAGGGTCGCGTTGGTTCCGTACCGAGCACGCCCTTTTTGTTTATCCGTTCTTCTGTTCTTCCATCATTTGCGACGGTCGCATGTTGGTGCGCCCTGGGCGCCTTGATCACGTCCGTTGCCGACGCGAGGCCGCCGCTTTCGTCGATCGTGTTGTGAGTTTGCCAGCGTTCGCGCTTCTCCGATGCACGATGTGCCCGCATGGGGCGTCGTCCCGCCCATATGCCATCGCAGCAGGCCGCCGCCCGAAAGTGCGGTGGTGGGGCAGAGCGTTTCGGAGCGCTCTGAAGCGGGCGCGGCGCCCGATACATCCTCGAATGCCCGCTGGCTCCCAGTGAGATCCACATCCGAATGTATGCTCATCTCGCCTTCTTGTTGGCACACTCCGATTCGATCCTGTTCCCTGATCCAATGCTAACGGGCGAGCTGCGGGCGGGCGACCCCGCATAGCGCATAGGTCAGCGTCGCGTCTGGCTGGCAGATCGTGAGCAAGATGGGCGGCGCCCAGGCCTACCCAAACTGCCGCCGGCGCCCATTCGTTGGCGGAGAAGGATAGGGATAGGGCGGAGGAGGTGGAGGAAAGACCAGAGTAAAACCAAGAATCATCAACGATGTTGGAATTAACCCTTCCTCCAAGCTCCATCTTAATAGGCCACAACGGTTCATTTCCATTGAGGGAACTGCCTCGTTGGAAGACAACCGTCTGAAGATCCTGAAGCATGCCAAAACAGTGTTCTCTGGATCTGAACGCCAGGTATCAACCTGACTGCTGCGTCTTGGCGATCGGGAATCGTGCCATAGCGCTTTTTTTGACTTCAACACCGTGAGTCAACATGATTGTCGCTCCCGCAGAATCCTGAATCTTTCCAAAACGCAATTTCTGGTACGTTGATCATGGGAATCCATGAAGCTCTTGCAAATGTTTTAAAGCGAGTGTGCAGGGCGCTAAGGCGAGAGCCACATTTCGAAAACCACCCGCCCTCAATCCGGGAAGCTCTTGCAAATGTTTAAAGCGAGTGTGCGCCTCGCTGAGGCGAGAGCCATATTTTGAAAATCACCCGCCCTCAATCCGCGAAGCGCTTGCAATTTTTTAACTGAATGTGCGCGGCGCTGAGACGAGAGCCACATTTTGAAAACCACCCGCCCTCCATCTGTGAAACTGTAGCCATTTTTAAAGCTTCAGAGTCATACGTGGTGAGGAAGTCTCAGGCGAAACGCCCGGCCCGCCCTAAAAATTGGCTTCGGGGTGCGACAGGGATGAGCTATCTATCAGGAGAAGGAATGGAGCTGGAGAGGCAGGCAGGCAGGCAGTCCGATCGAACCAGTGCTCGGCCCAGAGTCGGGCGCGACTGCGTTGAAATTTAAGGTTCGCTCTTGGAGCCTGAATGACACATGCACGGAGCCTTCTCTGTGCTCGAGAAGGTCATTGACCAATTTCGCTTCAAACCATTCGGTTTCAAAGTATTCATTCGCTAGCTGGAACAGGTAGGCATCCCATCTCACCACGTATCGGCTGCGTGATCGTCCAGGCCGAAGATTTGTTGCAGGTGGGTGCCAACGCGATACTCTTGCAGGCCAGCTGTCCGCCATCATGCCTGCTTGATGAGCCAGCCTGTATTGCCGTCGTAGTCCAGAACTCTATAGGGTATGAGGTTAGTGCAGCGTTCACTTGTAGCCTCATCCTCAGCATTGTGTCGTTCCAAGGCTCGTCTTTCAGACGAGTCCAGCCAACGATATGTCGAAGCATCCTCCGCTGAACCACATGTAATGAGCTCGTCTGTGTCCGTGTCATACATTCAGGGGCCGGCCTTCCCACTCCAGCCACTCCGCCCTCGCGGAGCGTCGGTAACAAGGGGGGGAGGGGGAGAGAGCGCACGGACAACGCCACCGCCGCGCGCGCGCACGCGCGGGCGCGCGCGCGCCGCGCACACACACACAAACACAAACACAAACACACACAAACAAATACACACACAAACGAAAACACACACAAACACACACACAACAAACACAAACAAACAACCACACACACCAAAACATACAATCACAAACAAACACACACAAACAAACACACGCACACACACACTCAACCACACACACACAAACACACACACACATAAAACACACACAAACACACAAACATACACACATAAGCACACACAAACACAAACAAACACAACCAAACAAACACACACACACACAATCAATCACACACACAAACATGCACACACAAACAAACTAACCCACACACACAAACAAAGACACACACACATAATCAAACACACACACAAACAAACACACATAAACACAAACAACACACATAAACACACACACAACCATACAAACACACACAAACAAACACACACACATAGAAAACATACACACACAAACACACACACACACACGCACACACAAACAAACAAACACACACAACCAAACACACACACACACATACACGAACAAACACACAAACACACACAAACAAACACACAAACAAATACACACGCACATTCGCGCGCGCACGAACCAGCGCACGCACACACACTCACACACACACACACACGCACACGCAAACATCCATACACGCCCACGCACAAACGATGGCGCACTCACGCACCCCTCCCCGCCTGCTCAGCGCCCTCCTCCCCCGCGCCCCCCCGCCGCCGCCGCGCCCCCCCCCGCTCCGGCCGGCGCTCTGGAGGGGGGAGAATCCGCCCCATTCAGGGACCGGCCCTCCTTTCGCTCCATCCACCCCGCCCTCGCGGAGCGCCGGAATCAGGGGAAGGGGGAAGGGGGGGGGCGCGCGCGCGCACACACCGACACCCACGCCCGCGCCCACGCCCACGCCCACGCCCACACTCAAACCAATACCAACTCACATCCAGGCCCACGCACACACCCACACCCACAACCACACCCACACCCACGCCCCCACCCACTCCCACACCCACCCCCACCCACACCCGCACCCAGTCCCACGCCACGCCCACGCCCGCGCTCACGTCCACGCCACGCCCTCGCCCACGCTCAAGCCCACGCCAAAGCCCACATCCTTATTCCTCATTAGAATATACCCCCACCTACCTCGTATTCCGGCCGATAGGGGCCCAATCCGGGACCTCCCATCCAGACTGTATAAAAACAATACAAAGTGGCCGTTTTTCTTCTCAACATCGTCTTTCTTGTCGTCGACGATGCGAAAAGCGTGGCAGGAATGGGACGCGGCGCACATCGCGCGCGGCAGTCAATCTGGGCCCGCCCATCCTGACTGTAAAAAATCAATACGAAGTCTTCGTTGTTTCCTCTCAGCATGGCCTGCCTTGTCGCCGACGGTGCGAAATATGTGGCAGCAGTGGGACGCGGCGCACATATGGGACGCGGCGCATATCGCGCGCGCGGCCGTCAATCTGGGCCCGCCCATCCTGACTGTAAAAAACAAATGCGAAGTCTCCGTTTTTTCCTCTCAGATGGCCTCCCTTGTCGCCGACGGTGCGAAATATGTGGCAAGAATGGGACGCGGCGCACATCGCGCGCGGACGTCCATGCGGGCTGCGGGCCCTCCCATCCTGATTGAAAAAAAAACAATACCGAGATGCCGTTTCTCCTTTCATCATGGCCTGTCTTGTCCTCGACGATGCGAAATGCGTGGCGGGAATGGGGCGCAGCGCACAGTGCGCGCGGACTTCTGGGGCAACCCCAAGGCGGGAGGGGCCACCTTACTTGTCAGAAACAATGCCATGCTGATTTTCCCTGCCCGCATAGCTGTTCTTGTCGTCCACCCCGCAAAAGTGCATGGCAAGAATTGGGCGCGGCACACCCCCCTCTCCCCCGCTCGAAGTGAATGAAATGACCTTCCCGCTTGGGCGCCGAGCGAAATTTTCTCAAAGTTGCGCTCCCGCTTTGGCTCGGCGCACGTTTTTACCTCGCCAATTCATTGGGCGCCGGGGCGTTCCAGGAGGCCCTGGGGTGACGAATGCCTGGGAGGTTTTTGCTTTTTCAGGCTCTTGGAGGGCCTCCTGAGGCTCCCCGCGGTTTCTTGGCGGCGTCTTCGGCCGTCTGGAGGCCATCTTGGGCGTCTTGGAACGATCTTTCGGCGACTCAGGGCCCCTCGGATCGTCTCGGGGGCGTCTCGGCTCTCTTGGGGCGTTCCTGGGGCGCTTTGGGACCTGGAAGTCAGCGCTCTGGGACCTGCGACACTGAAATGCCCGCGCAGCCCCCAGTTGTGCCATCACTGTTTCTTATGTTGTGGGAGGGCGGGTGGGAATGGGCATGCCATGCTTGACTCGCTCGAGCTGGCTAGCTTGACCCACACCCAGACCCACACACACCCACGCACACGCCCACGCCCAAACCCACACCCACACCCACACCCACACCAACACCCACGCCCACGCCCACGCTCACGCCCGTTGGCATGGGCGTGGGCTTGGGCTTGGGCTTCAGCGTGTGTGGGGGGTCAGGTAAAGGTGTGGGTGTGGGTGTGGGCGTGGATGAGGGTATGCGTCTGTGGGCGATGGTGCGAATGGTACTTCCCTTCACCGTTCTGGTCTGCTCCCCGTTCCGAGCGGACATCACAAACCAGCTGGCAGCCGATAGTTTCCTCACGCCCGAGACGGCACTGACCATCTCCTCCCCGTTCCAATCAATGATCGAGTCAGTTGCAGGCGACTCAGCGCGGCCTCCCCCTGCAGCTCGCGCTTGGCTCCCCTCCTCTTCACGCCACCATCCTTGCCACAAGATCTCGAGACCAGATGAGGGCTAGGAAAGCCTTGGCAAACGCGCAATGATGTCTGCACCTCCCGGTCATCAGGCAGCCCATTGCTTTCTAGTGGCTCGACAAAGACTCCCCCATGCCCCTCCGCGCCACTTGGGAGGCACTCTGCAATGGCACTGGCATGAGCGTAGGGCAGCTTGTAGCTCCCCGTGCCAGGCACCGCCGCACGAAACCTCCCAAAATACTCTCCTGGGACGTTCGGCACCTACGAAGTACTCTCACGCAGAAACATCAGACCGAACTGGCGGTCATCACGCAGATCACAAGGATAGGAAGAGTGGTCCTCCTGCAAGAGACGCATTGGTCTCCGCACGAGCGAAACATCTGGGACACCATGTTCCCCGCCAGACACCTTGTCTCCTCCCCGGCCTACCTCGGCAGAGCCGGAGGTTCTGCCGGGGGGGTTGCCGTGCTCCTTCCCCAGGACTTGGAACTCCTCGCCTCCGTGGAAATTGTCCCTGGGAGAGTCGTCGCTGTCACTGCGAGGAAGATGATCAGACCTCCCGTTTTATCTGTGCATATCTCCCACCTAGCCTACAAGAAGAGACCTTTGTCGCCATCACCGAGGCCATTCCCCAAATCGACGGCGTCCCAACATACGTGGTGTCAATCTGAAGTGATGCAACCACAGAGATGGGGAGGTCGAAACCGTAAGCGCGTGAATGTCGCTCCTCACCCAGCGCGGGGAGCACTCCATCGCTATGGAGGGCCCCACCAGGATAGGCAATGATGGCAAATCCCAGATTGATACCATCGCCTGCAATGCGGCCACGGCGGGATTTCATCAGATCCGGAAGGCCTGGGAAACCTATTTGTCCGACCACGTCTTGATCTATGCTGAACCCACCACCCAGCCTAGCACCAAGCGGCGCAACGCCATGAATCCAGGGACCTTCAAAGCCCTGCCGGAAGGCGCCCTCGCTGAACTCGGCTGGAACTAGGAGTTCCTGGAAAGGACCTTTCAGCAAGTCCCCCGTGTGGACCTGTCCGGCCTCGTCCAGCCTTCTGAGTGGCTACGAGCAGCGTCCCCAGGCCACTTCGCCGGTCATCCCGCTACAGGGGTCGCGTTGCCGGAACGCACGAAGCGCCCCCCCCCTTCTGCCCTCGCATTGTCCTTTCTGGGCGGCGCGCGCTATCCGCCATGATTCAGTCCTAGTGGGGGAGGTAGGACCGACGTGCGCGCGCCCAGTGCATCGGTCGCGTGCTCGCCAGGGTTGCGTCCTGCACCCACATGTCCAAAACCTGTAACACAAATTATATCCCCCCCTCCCCTCCCAGATCCTGAGTGCCATCAATTCGCCGCCGAGTAATTACTTGTTTAACTGTCCCATTGGAAAATTTGCCGGCCCCTGGGGCCAAGGAATTCATTAGCACTTAAGTGCTAAAATCTCCGGTAACTGGTTAACAATATTTCTAGTTCGCGCGCGCGGGGCAGCCCCTGGGGGTCCCCGGACGAAAAGTACACCCGCAAGTCCCGGGCAGGTCCTGGGCAGGTCCCGGCCAGGTCCCAGCGGGCTCACCAGAGCGCTCCAGGAGCGCTTCAAGTGGCCTCCAAGAAAGCTCAACATGGTCCGAGACGGTCCAAGAGCGATCCAAGACGCCAGAGGTTGCCTCCAGACAGCCCAAGCGCCTTCAAGATGGCCCAAGAGGCCTCCAAGAGACCTCCCAACCCACAGAGGCAGGAATTAGTGATTTCGCTCCAGTTTCTGACGGTTTTTGACGTTCTCGCCTTTTCGGTTTACTGGCGCTCCAAGACGGCCCAAGAGGCTTCCAAGACCGCCTCAAGACAGCCCACGAAGCCTCCAAGAGGGCCCCAAGACGGCCCAAGATGGCCCCAAGACAGCCTAAGAGGCGCCCAAGAGAGCCCCAAAACGGCTCCAAGAGGGGCCCGAGAAAGGGACCAGGAACCGAAATGTCCAGCCTTCAGCCCCAAGAGGCCCCCAGAAGGCCCCAAGAGGCTCCCAAGAGGCCCCAAGGGGCCCCCACGAGGCACCCAAAGAAGCCCCAAGAGGCCCCAACACGGCCCCCAAGAGGCCTCAACATTGCCTCCCAAAGGCCCCTGAGAGGCCAACCGCGAGAGCCCGACCAACATCCGTGAGGCCTCTGACCCGCCACCCACCGCCTCCGCAGAATGGCAGCCGCCCAACCGCACCGCATTGACAACAACACCCCAACAAACGACAGTGGCAAGACAATATGGGCCGGCGGAATGAGCAAATCGATTGAAAGTTTCACGGGGGCCGATGCGATTCATACGTTTCAC